ATGCTTGTTTGCTGTCAGGTTGACATGCAGCTAACCACTACACTGTATATCTAGTAATCTTTAATTAAATGTCCATTAAATGAAAAATATTGATGGAATTTTGTAACAGTTTTGGGTATTACATAGTATATTTTGGCTGTGTTCTATTGCTGTACTTTAAATATCAAAGAATGCGCCATCAGGCCTCGAACCAGCAATACTGCAATAATCATAATCTTTATTGACAGGAAACTTTCTCACCAGCGTGATTTTCAGAAAGGTCCTGGAGACAAATTGATTATATACATGATATAATTGATTATATACATCCAATAGGGTGGTTTTCCTATTAAGAATACGAAAATAATTTGAATCCAAAAAGGAATAATCGTTTTGATCATTGCAAGCGCCCAAACTACTTAATGGGTTCTGCGGCAGTGTTGGCGCGTTAATGTGGTGAATGCATGGTAAATCTATTGTTTACCTATTTTGTCTCAATCAAAATGACATATCCAAATTGACGGTCTATTTTTAGGGTGGCTCTTTACAGTTTATAGAAAATAGAATATCTACGACTTAGGCCCAATTTTTCGACAATTCCGATTTGTATAACCTGCTGGAGCGTCTTTGAAATTTCAAGCATATCGTATCAGATTTCATGATGGTTGTTTCACCCAGTATGGAAATTCGAAACTGCTGTCAAAACGAACGTAGTTGTCGTAGTAATGTCAGTAATGGCAAAAAACATAGTGGGGAGTATTTTTTGAAAACTCTGTACAATATTCCAAGTTCAAGTTAAAGATTGGTATAGTTGTTCTCCACATCTTTGGTTGTGTTCAACTCATTATATGTTGACTCCTCCTCATTAATTGCAGCATTTACTCTCAATGATTGATAATTGTCTTCTGTGTTCGTTTGTGAAAGATCAAGCTCTTGATAATCAGTTGTATCGGCCTCAGTTGTACTTGGTTCAGGGTTTGAATGAGGTTTCCTACTTCTAAATTTACGACGAGAACATGAGACAATGTAGGAAAGAAGAATTCCAATAATAATCCCGGACACCAATAATAGCACAACAATATACCACTCAGTTACACGACTCGTGTTGTTCGAAGATGCTTTGTCTATGTAAATATAAAAAAGAGAGAACATGGCTATGGGTAATATATGGGGATCAAAAAGAAAAATAACAATATAACTGCATCATCGAGTAATTCTATAATACTGAACAAAATATAAAACAAAATTTAAAAAACTGTGGTATTCCGCGATCTATTTCGTTGCCTTTCGTCGTTCGATGTGTTGCTAGTGGTCCTGCATGCTTTTGAAAATGAAAGTAATATCAATAAAATCTGAATGTAAAAAAGATGTTCCTACCCCATTGTCGGTGTACACATATAGCTACAGTTTGGAGCAATTCTTACCAGACTATTTATACCCAGACAAATTGGCGAAATACTGTAATCTTACCTTCAGGGGATAAATATTCACGATCTGAAGATTCATTTCCCAAAAAATTCCTTGCAAAACATGTATAATATCCAACATGATTCTTTTTTACTTCAGGTATAATAAGTATTTGCTCAGTTTGGGCTACTATCTTAGTTTGATTCAGGAATATTTTGAAACTTGCTGAAGGAAGAGCTTCAGCTGTACATCTGATTGTAGCTGATTTACCACTCCTTGTCAACAGCAGCTTTACATTTTCAGGTGGATCTGTAGAGAAATTGAGACTGCTTTCTAATGTTAACGTTTGTTAAATCAAGTATTTTCGAGTGTTGATGTTTACCTGCCGTTTTATTAAAACCAAAAATTGGATACTATAGTCACCATAGTTAACTAAGTTACTAATATCATGGTAACACTTAGAGAAACTTTTAACAAGATTCGATACATTGGGCTGATTTACGCCGGCGCATAATTATAACATGTGACAACATTATCAATGGCAATCAAATTGTCATTGATATTTGCCATTAAGAGAAGTGAGTCCGACAGATCATAACAATTATAAAAGCAAATAGCAATTGTAGTTCCATGTTATGTACCGTTTGATCAGAATATATACGTATGCAAGAAGAAGGGAAGAAAGAATGAGGAAGGATTGGGCCGTCCTGATGATTTTAAAATGCAACAAACATGCATGCAGGTCTCAACCGACTACTGCGATGCGTAGTATACAGTACCAACTATATACTTACAATTTACAATAAATTCAATTTCTGTGTCATTCTTTGCAACTTCATGGCTTTTCGCTTCACATCTGTACGTCCCACTGTCGTCTCTTTTGGCACTAAAGACATGCAATATCTTTTGGCACTAAAGATTAAAGATTAAAGGATAGCAGATTCTTGATAAAACAGCAATGCGTTGTCGTACCGCAATAACGCAATAATTGGTCACTTTACTTGTGACCATGGACTTCACATCTAAAGTTTCTTTGTGGACGTCTCCAAAAGGTTTCATTATCTGACGATGCAACAATATTGAACAATTGATGTATATTTGGATATTTTCAGAATACTTACAGTCGTGCCAATAGAAGCGTTCCGAAAAATGTTGACCAATTCATTTCCTATAAACTTGACGGAACACTTCTGAACAATTCCTCAACAATTTGATAAGTTCCTTAAAAAGTTCCTAACTTCCTGTTTCATTGACCAATCAAATTTATATTTTATTTTTGAGCAATCTATCAGGTTAATAAAACAGGAACTTTTTAAGGAACTTATCAAATTGTTAAGGAATTGTTCAGAGGTGTTCCTTTAAGTTAGGAAATGAATTGGTCAACATTTTTCGGAACGGTTCTATTGGCACGACTGTAAATTAATCTCCCCTGCTATTTTCTGATTTTCAATCCCATGTAAAGGCTATGGAAATGACGTGCACTGACGTCCAAAAAGAGTGCCATTAATTTGGTGGTCTCTAAAATCCCATAACGTAAAAAATGATAACTATGAATTTAATTTCATTGATCAAACTATAAGTCATTGAGAATGAAGACTTCGACTGCAGCACAATTACAATTACCAGTTAAACAAAAAGTTTGGAAATCCAAAATGAAGCTATTTTTGCCAAGTCTACTCACGACAATGAGACAACAGTGCACTAATACTATATGTATTGAAAATTAAATCAGTTTGTAGATGTTGTCTCGAGGACTTAGCTATGCCTATGCAAACCAAAAATGACTGATGGAAATGAATTTTGAGAAAAAAGACTAGCAGGAGTTTACAAGATAGACGAAAACTTGCCTGCGATAGAAACGACAACTTCAGATTCACCACCACCATTGCTGGGTTGAAGACTAAACTTGTATGTTCCACCATAAGTTTCATTAATGTTTCTTAAAACCAATGTTGCTGGCTTTTCTATTGCAACCTCAAATAAGCTGGTTAATATATTAACCCCACCGTCAGCGTCAACAAATGCAAATCTTTCGAAAGTCCAAATCCGACGACTCAACGCTTCTATTTCATCATCATATGACCACACTATTCTCTCAGTTGATCCACGTGCAAATACCAAGCTGGTTCCATCAGATGGTGGAAAAACTTTTCCTATAAACAACACACAAATTTTCCAATCACGCAGTTCGCACATGTTATTTTGTTTTGGTATAATTTACAGATATAGGCCGTGGCGGGGGGAGTACGTGTTCACTCAACAATTACATATGGCTATTATACTAGATATATAGACTTGCTAAAAACCCAGTTACTTCTATATTCTTGTTACCATTCAATTCACTAATACAATAATGTTGGGGCGCATTAAAACGAACAAATCATAAGACGTCAAGTCATTCCGATTGAAATGAAGAATACAAATTAAAACATTTACAGGGATATACAATTCAATTTGACTTGATTTGTGACTGTTTTGAGTGTCTGGCGAGTAAAGTGAACAAAGCAAGTAAAGTATAAAAACATCAGTAAGGCCTGTTTCAAACGTCGTGCTTCTCTTGTGCCGAACGCATTAGAAACAATAGATAATGAGGCATTTCAGGTGATTATCTATTGTTTTTAATGCGTTCGGCACAAGAGAAGCGCGAAGTTTGAAACAGGCCTAAGTGCATGATTTATTTAGGGGGTTAGCAATTTCTTATAATTGAAATTAAAGTCTCATGAAGAAGCTCTCAACATGAGTGGCATTTTATAAGATGCTGTATGCAGTTACACCATCGTGTAAGAATAGCTACCCTTACAAAAAATCCACATGAATTCACACATGTGATTTCATGTGAAGTCATGTGAAAACATGTGAAATTATGTGATCACATGTGACATTTCACATGTGGAAGGATTTCACATGAAATCACATGTGACATTTCACATGTGAAAGGATTTCACATGAAATCACATGTGAAATTTAACATGTGAAAAAACTTCACATGAAATTACATGTGACATTTCACATGTGAAAAAATGTCACATGAAATCACATGTGAAATTTAACATGTGAAAAAACTTCACATGAAATCACATGTGACATTTCACATGTGGAAAAACTTCACATGAAATCACATGTGACATTTCACATGTGGAAGGATTTCACATGAAATTACAAGGGAAATTTCACATGTGAAATGATTTCAGGTGAAATCACATGTGACATTTCACACGTGAAAGGATTTCACATGAAATTACAAGGGAAATTTCACATGTGAAATGATTTCAGGTGAAATCACATGTGACATTTCACACGTGAAAGGATTTCACATGAAATTACAAATTACAATATGATGATACAAGTGAAATTTCTTATGTGAAAGATTTCACATAAAGTAAAAAGTGAAATTTCACATGTGAAGTGACATTTCACACGTGAAAGGATTTCACATGAAATTACAAATTACAATATGATGATACAAGTGAAATTTCTTATGTGAAAGATTTCACATAAAGTAAAAAGTGAAATTTCACATGTGAAATATTTCACATGAAGTAAAAAGTGAAATTTCACATGTAAAATATTTCACATGAGGTAAAAAGTGAAATTTCACATAAAGTTACAAACGAAGTTTCGTATGTGATTTAAAGGATTTCACGTGTTATAATAATTTTATATGAACCTATAGAAGTAAAATTTCATAGGTGAAAAGATTTCACATTAAGTAAAAAGTGAAATTTCACGTGTGAAACGATTTCACATAAAATCGCACATGTAACCCCCCATGGGAAAACGTACGTCAACGCTTTTCCGTTTAAATGAAAAAAAAATACGGATAGCTAGCAAACGGTAAGAAAACGTTTTTTATAATACGTTTTAATAGCTAGTAATCGTTCGCTATTTAAACAGATGGCGAACGGCCGCATAAACGTCTTTTATATCTGTTAATTTTAAACCTTAGCTATATATATGGTATGTACGTTTTCCGATGGACAGTCACACATGAAGTTCTATATCTGAAACTCTAAATAAAAGGTCCATGGTTAGTAATATATATCACACAATTAAACCTTTATTCCTAAAATACAAAATATGTACATTACCATTAACATTCATGGACACGTACCAGATATTAATGGAGTACTCAGTCTCTGTCCACAGTATTTGGTAGTTTACAATAAAAGTACTCTTCCTCACTATCATCTGCAATAACTGCAAATTTGTCTGGTAGTTTGAAAAATAAACTAAATGTCTGGTAGTTTGAAAATTATTTGTTCGTAAACATTGACCACGATAGAATGGGAAGATTCGCTGAAAACTAACCACAAACATAACAATTTAATACAATCTAACTGCTGGATTTTATAGTCACTTTGAATATTAATTGTTTACATTACAGACTTGACATGATCTTTAAACATTAAAGCCAGACCATTTACTTGGCAAGGAAAATACTCACTAAGTGGTAGATTTTCTTCATAATGTCTTAGCTAAAATGTTTTTATTATGTATCTGTTAGAAAAAAAGAAACTGGTTGAACTCGAAGAAAGCAAATTCCTTGGGGAATGTTCTAGTACAGATGATTTCAGCAGTGGTGAATTAGATAATAAAACGAGAAGAACAAAAAGAAGATTATCATCTGATTCTGAGAAATCCGAGGTTTTGCCTTCCAAAGAAAAAGTCCAAAAAGTATGTTTTATTCACTTTAATAATTGGTCTTGAATTGGTTAAGAACTTTTACCAAAGGGAATCTATAGTGGTTTTTGTTTATTTACTGTGTGCCTTTAGGGACTATACCAGTCTAAATTCTTTTGGCCATTTTGGCAATTCTTACATGTGCAGTAGTACTACACAAAATATCTACAAATGAAATGGAGCAAACTGTACCTGTAGCCTGCGTGCAGACTATATAATGACGTATATAGTCTGCGAATCTGTGGCATGAAGCTTGTATGGTCACTAACTTTTGAACAGCCCAACATGCTTTGTGAATGCAATGTCCGATGATTAACATTAATTTTGCATAATCATAGTTCAACCAATCACAATTTGTCCCAACGCCTCTCAGGAAATTCACATGACCATACAAGCTTCATGCCACAGATTCGCAGACTATATATGTCATTGTATAGTCTGCGTGCAGGCTACTGTACCTGTTGACTGTGCTCTTCCGATCTCTATTCACATTAGAGACGGACAAGTCGTCTAGACGAACAAATCGTCTCTCAAAAATCGTCTTCACAAAACCTTTTAATTTACTGTCAAGGAATTCACAATAAATTTAATGATATTACTGTTGTTCCAATTGAAGTGTTCCTCAAATATTGATTCAATACATTACCTCAGGCTGACCAATTCATTTCATCAAGTTCCTCGAGATATTCATACACTTCCTGTGAAAGAGCCAATTCCAAGAATTTGATCATTTCTGGTCACTTCCTTTCTATTTATGATTGGTTGGTTGCACAAACAACAAAGGTGATTGGTGCATTCAAACTATTCAACAGGAAGTTTACAATTATACTAGGAAGTGTATGAATATTTTGAGGAACTTGATCAAATGAATTGGTCAGCCCGAGGTAATGTATTGAATCAATATTTGAGGAACACTTCAATTGGAGCGACATTAACCCATTGAGTTGCATTGCACCCTGATGCACCCTACTTTAGTATTTTATTCTGTCTAACCCCAGACGATTTTACTAGTCAAGGGGAGAGCGCTGGCACTTAATGGGTTAAAAACAGATTTGGCAAAATTCTCAAGATTGAGTTTTCACAGGTTATTGCAATCACAGCTCTATTGATCAATCAGCGCACATGTTATAGCCTGCGAGCAGGCTCTCTGGGGAAAGAGAGCCTGCAAGGATCCCTATGATGATTCGGTGCATGCGTCCAATATTTGGACGCAGTGCTCTGATTGGTTGATAACTGATTCATATGAAGTGATTGACAAGCTTCCATAAACTTGCACTTCCCGTTTGTAAAACCGAGCAACGCAAAGCTTCGGAATTGCGGCAATGTAGAGATAAAAGTGTCATGTATTTTGATCCTGGTTGACTTTTTACTGTAAATTAATATAGTATTCATATAAAGACGAATACTAAAAGCTTGCATGCTTTATTGTGTCCTTGGCTTGTCTGACTCCTAAGCTAAGAATAATTCTTGAGCAAGACTGCACAAATTCGCAAACCGAAACCTAGGGACAAGGCATTATATCGCTTCTCTTTTATGAAACAATATTGGGAATTCTGATAATATTCAGTGCATATTGTGTGTATTAAGCTTGTTTTACAATGTTATACTGACTATTTAATATTTATAAGTATGCGGCGTTAAAATGTACAGTAATTTACTCGTCACTTTGTTTACAATAATTATCACATGCATGTTTACTGCAATTCCACTTTTTGTTGCAAAATTTGAACTATAAACATATTATTAAATTATGTCCAATGTCCATGGTATATCATATATGTCTATGTCTCACCAAAGCCATAAATTTCAGTAAGTTATATTATTACTATATATATAGACTGTATACAGTGTATATTATATATAGCAGCACGTAGACTTGCCCAAGTCGCTCGCTAGGGACCGCGCGTAGCAAGAAGGGAGCGCTTGAGAAACCACGAACCGCGGACTTTGGAAAGTCTATGCAGCATGAAGCAATTCCAAATAACTGAATTAGTTAGCGGGTAATATACAACTTTAAACTTACTGTGCGTACAGGAGAAACACATGCAGATTGTAATAAAAAGTACAACTTGATATATTACTCTGTAAAACCTCGAGCCGTTTTAACTTTTTTAGTATGCCACAGTGGCGGTCTGTATACGAAACTATTAACGAATTTGAAACGAATCGGTTTATGTTTACAATATCGTAGTGTATTCCGGTCTGCGCTGATTGGTTGTTATTAATTGACCTGTGACATCATAATTGAAGGGCGGCACGCAATCATCATAGGGATCCTTGCAGGCTCTCTTTCCCCAGAGAGCCTGCTTGCAGGCTAACATGTTATATAATTGTTATTTTATAAATACCGGTAATGTGTTTCAAATGCAGTAATACATGTCTCAGATGATACCATTGTTATGTATAACTGGTCTATTGATCTGTTATGTATAACTGGTCTATTGATGTGTCTACCTTAGAAAAAGGTTGGTGATGCAAGATGTGCTGCCCAAAACAGGGAATATGAGAACATAATTGGCAGGATGGGTTCGTCTTCAGAATCTGATGAATCAGATGATGATGAGTTGGTCCCAAAAGAGGATTTGAAGAAAAGAATTAAAATTCTTGAAGAAGAGCTGAATCAGCAAAGAACCTTGGTGAGCCAGCTGCAAAAGGCAAACCTTGGTCTTCAGACCAGTAAGTAAAGTCACTACACAATGCTTTTCTACAGACAAAAACATGACCATCAACCAGTGGCAGACACCTTGCAAAATATTGGGGGTGCTGTTAACAAATCCTATATGGCAGCAAATTTTACAGTTTTACTTGTCAAGAAGATGTCTTGTAGTGCTTTTCAATTCGCATACAATGTGTTGCCCATACAGAAATTATTGGGCACATACAGAAATTATTGGGCACATACACTTTCTGTTTGAAGCTGATGCATTGATGATTTAAACCTTACTGTTTGTGTAACTAATAGCCAACTCAATATTTTTAACAGGCTTACCAGAAGTGATAAAGGGAGCAATTAAAGATGGCTTGGCTGGTAAGAAAGAATTCCCACTTACTCCCTACCTAAAACACAGCACCCCTTCTCCGCTGCGTAAACCACCTAAAGAAACAAACAAACCCCGAGCAAGCTGCCTATTGCCATTTGGCAGACCAAGCAGTATATCGTCTGATGATAATAATACTGAGGATCCTGCTAGTGAAGTGAGCGTCAGTGATGTTGAAATTACACAAAGTCCATCCTGCCTTGGCGATGTACTTAAACCTTTGTCGGTAAGTAGTTTTGCGTTGTGATAAATAGTAAATACATGATGAAATATGTAGAAAAGCTACCAATGAAACTCAATATTTTCCAGAGCGGTGTTGCATTTTTGGATTATGGTTATACTGAATACTGACTGTTAGATTACACCAGGCCTTAAAATATCTTTTTACAGGGCCATCTGACAAAATGTCCAATGACTTTGAGTTTGGGTCGGACATATGTATGATGATGTATATAACTCTGAATGACACAAATTAATATCAGCACAATGTATTCATTCTCAACTAAATATTAAATAATTTGTGTCATTCATCCTTATTTCCAAGCCAAAATTTACTTGCTCAGTCCGACCTATATTTTAAGGTCTATGATTATACAACTATTCGATTCTTTTTAGAATTTTGCTGACCCAGTCCAGGCGGCAGAAATCATGAACACCACTACTGAAAGAAAAATGACTGGCTCGTTAATGGCGATTTTATTTGAAAGGAAAATCATAGCTGAGTCGTCAGTTACTGGCAAAGGAAAAGAAGGACGTCCACCATTGGATCCTGAGAAAGTCCAGTTAATTATATGTAAGTTCATCCTGGCACTTTGTTATTTTGCTCGGCCTGTACCTAGGATGCTAACTAACTCAAGTAACTTGGTCTACCACCAGAGCATTTTATTTGTCAAGGGAGATTCTAGTCACATAATGGGTTAACAATTCTGGCTGCCCATTTTCCTCTTATCCCATTGACTGGCAAAATGCACTCAGACTTGTTCTTTTACACTGTTTCTTCAGGACAATATTACAGTAGTGAAATACTTGTCAAAGGGGGAGTTTTGCTACCCAATGGCGGGTCAACAAATCCATCAACCAATTTCTCTTCTTAACCTAATTGCTTTTATTTTAATTTTGTAACATTTCATTCTTGGCACCATCTACAGTACGTACAGAACTTTTTCGACTGTAAGCTAAGGTGCAAAGTTTATAGATTGGACAGGAGGGGAAATGCTCATATTGCTGCATGCGTAGCACTATGTAATGTTAACTGACTGTGGAATTATAGCACATGAAATATGTAAAACTAATGGTAGTCTTGTATTTCCTTTCTTATAGCTCATGTAACTAAACGTTTTCCGGGGTCGAAAGCTTCATCCGTCAAGGCTGCTATGGCCCAAAAATGCAAAGATGAACGCAATGCTGGTGTGAAAAGAAGAAAAATTGCAGAAGAAATTTGAACTGTTAAGTTTTTACCCCTTATTATAAATTTGTATACTTGCTAAACATTTGTAGATATTAATTGTAGAAATAAATTATTTGAACTTCCTGTATATATATATTTTTCTGTTTGACAGGTTTTAAATGTGCATTGTGTGAAGCTTTGCATAATTTCACATGTGAAACTCCAGCATGTGATACATGTGAAGTTTCACATATGAAATTATGTGTTTCACATGTGAATTTGGAACATGTGATTCACATGTGAATCACATGTGAAATTATGTGTTTACATGTGAATTTGGAACATGTGATTTTTCACATGTGAAATTATGTGTTTCACATGTGTGAAACTTCACATGTGAAATTTCACATGTGAATTTGGAACATGTGAATTTGGAACATGTGATTTTTCACATGTGAAATTATGTGTTTCACATGTGA